GCAGGGGGGTGGCTGCAGGGGGAGCTCCTGGCTCCTCCAGTCCTGGCCTCTCACAGCAGGGGGCGCTGTGGGGTGCAGGGCAGGGGGGTGGCTGCAGGGGGAGCTCCTGGCTCCTCCAGTCCTGGCCTCTCACAGCAGGGGGCGCTGTGGGGTGCAGGGCAGGGGGGTGGCTGCGGGGGGAGCTCCCGGCTCCTCCAGTCCTGGCCTCTCACAGCGGGGGGCACTGTGGGGTGCGGGGCAGGGGGGTGGCTGCGGGGGGAGCTCCCAGCTCCTCCAGTCCTGGCCTCTCACAGCAGGGGGCACTGTGGGGTGCAGGGCAGGGGGTGGCTGCAGGGGAGCTCCTGGCTCCTCCAGTCCTGGCCTCTCACAGCAGGGGCGCTGTGGGGTGCAGGGCAGGGGGGCTGGCTGCATTTGTCCTCCCTTTGCATCTCTCGCTTGGGCTCAAAACTGCCCCCCCCCCAAAGACTCCATGTGCCCCCTTCCCAGCCCCCCACCTGCCCCTCCCCCCATACCAGGGGGCCCCATTCTCCCCTGTGTCCCCCCCATCAATCCCTATGTCAGGGGCCCCCCATTCCCCCACATGCCAGGGGCTGTGCCCCCCCATTCCCCTTCCCTAGTCTTATTTCGCATCTTTCTGTCTCAGGGTACGTCTTCACTACCCGCCGTATCGGCGGGTAGCAATCGATTTATCCATTGCTCTGGGGTGGGGCCAGAGATGAGGGGTTTGGGGAGGGCTCAGGGGCACCCCCCCCCGCCAGCTCCCATTGGCCTTGCAGTAAATGGGTCACGACCCACGGTTTGAAAACCACTGGTCTAAATAATACTTAGCCCTGCCATGAGCACAGGGGACTGGACTAGATGACCTCTCGAGGTCCCTTCCCGTCCTACGATTCTCCAAAGGGAAATTGTTCTGATCAACAGCTTACGTCACATGTCAAACCACTTAACCACGTTGCCTTCAGTTTTTTGCGTCTTGAATAAGGGGTTCTCCATACATGGAAGCGACTGGCGCAAAGTGGCTGAAGATAGGTCGGAACGAAGCCCTCTCAATCCAGAGTCTCCACAGAGATTCAGGAGTAGCTCCGGCGCTTAAAGGCTTAGCTGACGGACTTTCATTTCTGCTTATTAATCCTCCCCCGGGCTCCCTTCCACAGGACCCGATTCGGCTTCCCCATTAACTGGCTGGTCTGTGTAAGAGCAGATAATCCACTTTCAGAGCGGATTTAAACGGCCCTTAATCCGAATTAACTTCCCAGTGTAGACAAACCCCTTAAGAGGATCAGAAATTTATTCCCCCCCCCCCTTCAGAGATGGTTAAGAGTAAATCTGCAAAAAATTGACACCTCCCCCTCCCAGCATGCTGAACGCTTTAATCTTGCAACCAGGGTTTTAACATCTTCGCCCCCAGCAGAGCCAAGACATTCCAGGGTGAACCCACCTCCATCACCCTCAAGATTGCATGCCCCCCTCGCTGTCCCCCAGCAGCAACTCACCCCACAATCAGCAGCCCCAAAAGCAGGCAGAAGGCATCTAGTGGAGGTGGCTGGAATAGGAGGACATTACTCCTTTAGCTAAGTGACCCCACCACACACACACTCACTCCAGGGAAAGGTGAAGCAACAGCAGGGGGGGGGGGGCGAAGGGATGGGGGCTAGTCTAGGGTCACCCCCTCCCCCACCACCGGAGCGAGTGTAGCCAGGGTCAAAGTCTATCGAATCGCAGCAGGAAATCAGGGACCTCCAAACACCATCTCCTCCCTTCCCCACTCCAGCCCGGGAGGAGGGGTGGGCGATCTCCCCCACCCCCGCCAGGCGTTACACCTGTACACCTGCCTGGTCTCTGATCTCCCCCCCCCCTTACCTGGCAGAACATCACATCAGCCTCCGCTGGTCCCCCGAGAAAGCCAGGGCAAAAAAATCCCCCCCCCGCTACCCCCCCTTCAGAAATCCCCCTTTGGGCGTTATACCCAAATACCAGCCTGCTCCCCCCCCCCGGCCTTCCCGGGGGCTGGCGATCCAGAACCCCCTTAAGAAGGGGGGAGGGGAGGCGAGGATCAATGAACCCCACAAATCCGACTCCCCCCCCGCCGGGCGTTACAGCCGGGCCGCCCGCTCACGTGGACGGCCGCGCCACCGTGTTGCAAGGTTCCAGGCGGGGCGGGAAGGGGCGGGGCGCACCGGCTGGGCGGAGGAGCCGAGACTAAAGCCGGTGGGAGCAGGCCACGCCCCCTTCGCCCCGCCTCCCGCTCTCGCCCCGCCGGAGCCGGCGCAGGCGCAGCTGGGCGGTACCGGAGCATCCGCTGACCTGGGCTTAATTTGTGGCCACGCCTCGTGGCCACGCCTCCTTTCCCTGCCCCCCCCCCGCGCCAAGGGGCAGTTTTTTTGGGGGGGCGGAGCTAGGGGACTGTCCTGAGCCTGCACAGAGGGGACATTGGGGGGGTTATGGGATTGCACAGAGGAGACATTGGGTGCTATGGGGCTGCACAGAGGGGACATTGGGGCTGCACAGAGGGGACATCTGGGGGGTTATGAGGCTGCACAGAGGGGGACATTTGGGGGGTTATGAGGCGTGCACAGAGGGGGACGATGGGTGGCTATGGGGCTGCACAGAGGGGGACATCGGGGGGCTAGGGGGCTGCACAGAGGGGACATCTGGGGGGTTATGGGGCTGCACAGAGGGGGACATGGGTGGCTATGGGGCTGCACAGAGGGGGACATCGGGGGGCTAGGGGGCTGCACAGAGGGGGGAGGTGGGGGGTTATGAGGCTGCACAGAGGGGGACATTTGGGGAGCTATGGGGCTGCACAGAGGGGGACATGGGTGGCTATGGGGCTGCACAGAGGGGACATCTGGGGGGTTATGAGGCTGCACAGAGGGGGACATTTGGGGAGCTATGGGGCTGCACAGAGGGGACAT